TGCGTGTGTCAGAGATTTTTTACTTAAGACATCTTCAACTACATTCGACTCACCAGTGTAGTATTGAATATCTAGGGCTTTTTGTTTTAAGATTCACTCCTTCTGAGTGAAAATATATTTTAGGCTTCTATGATAAGTAAAAACCTCACAGCGACCTTCAAAAAAATCATGTGTCCAAATCTTTAATCCATGGACTCATATTGCACCAATGTCGCGTTATTTGGTTCGTCTTGTTGAGACGATCATTTTGACTACAAACTTACTGAAATCAAGGCCCAAGATCATCTTCAATTTAAACCAATAATCTTTCTTATTAAAAAATGTTTCCAGATTCATGTCAAATACTAAAAATTTATTCATGACGCATCAACAATTACTATTAATTTAAATATAACTCACTATAAAAGTAATGTACACTTTTAAATTCAAATATATATTAATAGAAAATTTATTGACAATAATGAATTCTTAACAGAGTTTTAAACATATGAAGTTTCTTATAATTTTTTTTAATATTTTTTTATTGAGTGCTAAAATATTATATTCATAGAAAATTCATCTCCATAACTTGAAATATTACTTCCAATACAATAATAATAATAATAGTAATAATAATAATAATAATAATAATAATAATAATAATGGAATATTCCAGTTTCGATCATACCAAAAATCAGAAACCACCTTCTGCTCAGAATCAGCACCCAAAAAACCAAGGATTGAAATCCACACCAGCCCAATTATCATGCCAAAAGGAGATTTTTTCCCGCCCAACATCCCAATAGACATTTTTAGGATCTAGCTTTTAGAAGATTTTTTCCAAAGTTCTGAGTCCCCAACTTTCCATTCAACAGTGGCAAGATGGTAAGAATAGCAATATCTCTCATTCATAAATTTTACCCACAAACACTCACCTCTCCTAGATTTAAACCAAAGTTTAATTTGATTAATATAAGCAATGTGGCTTTGCTCTTTGAAACCTAGCCCCCCTGCACCAACAAGTTTGCAAATTTTCTTCCAACCCACCCAAATTTTGTTGGAGTTGCCACTAGGCCACAAAAATCTATTGAAAATTCTTTCCTACGTAGTTTGGTGGTAGAATCACATTACTTAAATCTGTGTCAAACACAATCTCTCTCTCTATATATATATATATATATATATATATATATATAGCTATCTCCAGCTAGTGAAGGACGAAAATATCGATGAATTATTGTCGATTACCGAAATTTACAACTCAAATGGGACGGCGAATTGAAATCACAAACTGACACATTCTCCCCCACATTTTTTAATAAATAAGTAATAAAATAATGGCACAGACACCATGCAATTAAATTAAATTACGGGAATTTACATATGTAGCCCCCAAACTATTAATGTTACATATCTCACAGCAAGCAGCAAATTAATAAATGGACACCGCCACATTGTGAAAATGACAGCATAATAGACTTTAGCTGTCATGATATTATGCCTCTATGCAATTTACACGAATCAACCATACAAAGCTGCAATTTAGCGTTTTATGGGGTGTAATTTAACATGATTTTAATTCAATTAAGGTGAAAATCAAAAATATATTTTTGAAATTCATATGTCTTTAATCAAAACTCACTCTAATTCTTAAGCAATCCTTGAATTTTAATAGAAATATATTGTTTTAATTGTGTTTATTGAATCAAAATTTAAGGAGTGTTTGGGGGCAGCGGAGTGGTGTCTGTTTCGCAAACTTGTGTTTTATCTACGTTCTAAAAAAGCTGCAGCTGAAAGTTGTGTTTTTTCATCAGATCTGACTACCTACAATAGCTGCTATTTTTTTTTTTTTTTGGTAATAGTCACCGTAACTTTTGAACAACTCCTCCTCCAACAGTTTTTTTCAAACAGCTGAAGCCGCCCCAAACAGAGAGCACAAGATGGGAAAGAGATATGAAGAGAAGTGCACAATATGAGTAATAAAATGTCTTCTTTATTTCATAAAGTGATCGTCTATTTAAATGACAAATCACGAAATTACATGTTTACTTGTATTTTAATAATTACGTTACATAATATTTTATGTATTTTATATATATAACCCTACAGTTAAATATAATTTTTGTTTTTTTCTGATATTTTCATAATAAATTGTATTCGTTAACTAGAACGGTCAAAATAAAAGATTTTATGATGAGACCAAAATCTAAATTGAATTTAAATCTTTCAAATAATTATCTTATAAAGTAGACATTTTAAAAATTCTATAACTATTTATTAAATTTAGGGGATTTATATAAATATGTATTATAATTGTTTCTTAAAAAAGAAATGAAGGCTTTGTTATAATTATTTTTGTGTATCGGAAAATTCGCGGTAGTAGAGTGAAAACTTATCGTCTTAACATTGTATGAAAATGCAACACACACGTAGATATTAAAGAAATAGCAGCAGTAGACACCAGAAATTTTTTACGTGAAAAAAAACCCTGAAAAAGTAAAAAACTATGGGGTCTAGCCTAGTTAAAGCAGAACACTTAAGATTGTAAGTATATAGGCCTACTCCTATCTTGAATTAGGGAAGATAGAATTACAATTGTGATAATTACAGATGTATAACATTGGCCCAACTTTAATAGATGTAATTAGACTACAGTAAATGTAGTTAATGATGATAATAACGAAAGTGGGCCGCAAAAACGGTAATTAATTGCTAAAAAAATAGTAGTATGCCATAAATATTATAAATGATCACTATAATAACATCAGTTTGTCATAAAGGATATAGTCGCAAGTCGTAGCAACAATTAGTCAAATAGGTTGCAGTTAGTTATTATATGAGCGTCAATTGACCACATAGACCATAGTTGGAAGCTACAATAACAATTAGTCACGTAAGTCATAGTTGGTCAAATAAGTCGTAGTGAGAAACTATAGTAGCATCAGTTGACAGCAAAAATCATAGTTAAAAACGATAGTGGCAATTAGCCATATATGAAGTGGTTGGTCATATAGGCTGTAGTGGGAAGCTACAATGGAGTCGGTCATAAAAGTCTTAGTTGAAAGCTGAAGTAGCAATGAGCCACATAGGTTGTAGTTGATCACTTATGTCAATATGGTAAGGGTTTTGCAATAGTAACTGGCCATATAGACCATAGTGGGTCACTACAAGAGCGTTGGTTGGATATAAAGGTCACAGTTGTTGTTACATCAGTGCAACCCCTTTTTTTACTATCAAAGGGAAACACTTACATGTACCTAACATAAATATAGTTGTCGTAAGCAGTTGTCATCAGAAGTAATCATCGTGTCTTAGATACATAATGTTTGTGATATATCGTTATAATGTATTTGGGTGTCTGCCGTCACACCGTATTTTGGGTGCATCGAAACACCATTTTCAGGGTGTGTTACACTATATGCATGGTTCGTGTTACACTGTATTAATGGGGCATTGTTATAGTATATTTTGAGGGCATTATTGCACCATATTTAGGGTATTCGATATATTATATTCGTGATATGTCACTACACAATATTTGTGATGCATCATTACACAACAAAATTTGTTGGCGACAGAGAGCAGAGGGCAGCGGTGGTGGGTAAGAGCAGCCGACAGGTGACCATTGACATTTTTCGACAAATACGGAGGTTGTAAGTTATCTTTGGGTCTTCAGTCCAAAACCTCCAAGTCTGGTTCAATAGTTTGATCCAGGATTGACTAGACTTGAATCGAATCAATTTTAGTACCATTATACTTTTCATATCAAGACAGTCAGTTTGACTACAAACTTACTGAAATTAGAGCTTGAAATTATATTTTTAATTTGGATTGAATATTTTTTATTAAGAAAATTATTTCAAGATTCGTATCAAATCCTAAAAGTTACTAGTGACCCAGCAATTATCATATTCTAACCACCATCACTCTGAAAAGTTCCTCCTAATCATCATAATTATTTAAAAAAACAAATAAATTACATTCAAACAAAACAATGATATTGATATGCAAAATAAAATTATAAAAATCAATCCCAAACACACCCTTAGTTTCATTGACAAACCACTTCCTCAAGTAATATCTATCACCGACGATAGTCACCTCTACAACCATATGGATTATTTAACAAATTAAAATAGTCATGTGTCTATTTTTAAAATAAATAACTCAAAAAATTAAAAAAAAATCAAAAAAATATTTATCAATGGAGAAGCATCTTGTTGGTAAACATGAGCATAGTTAGGCGTAACCACCCCTTCAAGTTAAGCAGAAGATTGCTCTTATTAGTCTTAGCTGTCTGAGAATGATGTTTTCATCCATTGCAGAATCAAACCTATGCTCGGAATTATAAGCAAATCGGTGCTAAAAAGAAAAAAAAAATTGGTGGTGGAGTCAGTTTTTGGAGAAAATATTCCGTCCTGCACGTCGGGACGGCTAACCAACGAATGCCACGTCGTCATATATCTCATTGGCAGGCGATGTGGCGCCCGGTGGTTGCCCGTCCGACGTGCGGACATCCGAAGGGAATATTAGGTGTTAATTCTGATTAGCGGGTCGGATTGGTCTTGAATTTGATATTGACTCAGCTCAAATAGATCTGACTCGAACTCTTCCTGAAAATTCTACCGCGAACCAGACCCGCCATCAATACGCTAATCCTAAATCAGACCCATATAAACTTAAATAATAACCGCTATCTCAGTTAAAATTTGATGAATTTCAGGCCAACTTTGAGTTAATTTTGAGTTGATGAGTTGCTTACAAGTCAATTTAGAGTTCACAGACCATTTTGGAGTTGGTTAGTTTGGATCCTTAACCTTAACCTGATCCTAAAATTACTCGGGTCAGCACAAACCCAAAATATCAAGTCGGGTTTGGATCAAATTGGCACACGGTATCATGTAATTAAAAAAAAAAAACAGAAATATATTAAAATTATATGAAAATGCAAATTAAATTTCATAGTGAAAATATACAAAGAGATTGAATGAGATTATTGAATAAAACTAAACATTACAATGACATCAAAACTAATTAATCAGAACCCAAAAATAAAACATTTGACACCCAATCACCTAAAAAAGCGTTAATTAATCCTCTCAAATTAATTAATTCTTTTTTTAATTATTTTTATTATTCCCTATTTCTCTGCTTTTGGATTCTATAGAATCGAACTGCGGTACACTTCTCCGCCGGTGAACTTTTAGCATTCATAGAAATGGACGAGCTCGTCGAGGGAATCCGGCTGAGGGTCCGCGTTCTCCAGCATCCACAACAGGTGTTCGAAGAGAACCACCTCGCAGCCGACGACGGTGTCACAGCCGCCTCCGGCGCCGCCGGAGCGCTCGACCAGGTTACGGAAGAGGGGGTGGTCGACGAGGTCGGAGTTCACGAGATACCGCCGGCGAGATTTCCCGACGTACACGGGTTGGACTCCGGCGGGCACATCGTCGCCGTGGAAAGAAGCTGCCTGCCACGCGTCGTCATCCGGCGAGCGGTCGGATCCTCCACCGCCGGTGCGGGTGATGCGGCTGGGGGAGTGCCACCGCTTTATCATGCACCGGAGCTTGCTCAGCTTGCCGTTCTTCGCCATCACCTGGCGGTGGCCCGGCGCGGGACGTGAATCGAGTAGAGGTGGGAGGAGGGGGGTGGGGGAGGTGTGGTGTTGCAGATGAATGCGGGAAGGAAATTTCGTATTTTTATAGAGAGAATAGGGTGGGGCCCCACTAGGCTGGATGGCCAGCTAAGCTCCATGCCAGCTTGCCAATTAATTTTTATTATTTTTCCGTAATTTGGAAAAATAAATTATTGAATTATAATGTCCGGTAAATATTATTATGTTTATAAATAAATATTTATTTATTGGTTCGAGAGTTTATATTTTTTAATGAAGTTTTTAGAAATAAAATCTGTCATTTAATATTTTGCCACCTATTACACGACTAAGAATACGAGCAATATTTTTAACACATGGCATGTTATAATTAAAATTAATTCCATATACGACAAAATATTTACATACATACCATAAATATATAAAATTGTGGTATGTATGTAAATTTAAATTATATATATATATATATATATATATATAAATTTTAAAGGAAGTATATATATATATATACACATATTAATTTAAGGTTAGTAAGACAGCATTTTAGGCTCATTAAATAGTTTGATAGCATGCAACGTCCATTGCAATTTGCAATTTGTCTTCAAAATGTTCATGTTGGGTTACATAGAAATATGCATGGAGGTTCTTTGTTAATATGGAGACACCAATATTGATTTTAAAAATTCTCTCAAAACTTATTATTGCATTTTACACTGAAAATTATTTAAAAATAGTCATTACTTTTTTTAAATATATATGTTATTCATCGTGGTAAATTTGTGAAGACCGTGATGAGTAACCCAACTTAATGGTTACTTCGACCAGTCGCATGCATGGTTAAATATCCACCCAACATCGCGGCCACACGCCTGGTTGGATCACAACTCAGCTACGTAACTACTCGGCCGCACTGAGTACTGTCACTTGGTCCAGAGCCGAGCACTCATGTCGGTGAGTCCCACACATTGCATGCATGAGATGACTGAAAGGCTTTCTGACTTGTCCCGGAACTTTAGATATATAAAGTGTGATTGTATGCTAGCCTGTTTTTATAAATAGGGGGTGATTCATAAATAAAACCAGAAGGGATCTCTCTGTCTCGCTATCTTAAACAATCATTCTCTTTTCTCATCCAACGCTCTATTTCTTAAGCATGCCTTCCGGACAGATTTGAATCCAACATTTATAATCTTTAAAAAAGAATTTTTTGTAAGAAAATAATAAGAAATAACCTATTTTCTTGAGTGAAAAATATCAAAATAAACCCTTACATTCTCACCGAGATCATTTTAGTCCCATAATTTTTGAAATTATCAATTTAGCCACATAAATAATAAAGAGACTATTTTAACACTTTACCTTTTTTTTTTAATAATTTAAATAGATATTAATTTATTTCTAATAAAATTACATTGGAGTCAAAGTCCACGGCCAGAATTTTCTTTTTATTTCAGAAACTACCAAATTCATGTATTTAATTATGCAATGATCATCAAATCACTAAAAATTGAATTCCAAAAAAATTATAAATATCTAATATTTTAAGCTAATAATTTAATTATAATATAAAAATTAAAACAACCGAAAACTATAATAAAATATGGGATGGCTACTGTCATAGTACCCAAACTTTTTGAATTTATAGAATAAGACACTAATTCTTATATATTTACATATCTAACCCACATAGGGCTGTCAAAATGGCTCGTTGTTCACGAACAGCTCGTGTTCGGCTCGTTAATTTTGTTCGATAAGTTAACGAGCCGAACAAGAACTAAGATATGTTCGTTCGTGTTCGGCTCGTTTTGGCTTGAAATACTACTCATCAAGTTTTTATATATATATATATCATCGAACAATAATTATGCGAGTGGGCGCACAGTTCCTTGTTAGCTCAATCAGCCCGAACAGTACAGTTGGAGGCATTAATTAATACCCACTTAAGAAATAAAACAACTTTCCTAATCATCTTATTTGTCCTCATTAAGTCAACTAAAAGATTTGGTTAATCACAAAGAAAGGAGATTATGTGGTTCAGATGATTATGGTTTCTTAATGCTCCCAACATAATTAATAAAGTGAGTTGCTTTGTACTCTTAAGAGACAATAATTAGTGCAGATCATTGTACTTTTGAGCAAAATCAGTTAAATAATGTCCAAAAACCTTGTTTGTTCTACGTTCAACTAGCTAAAACATCAATAGATCAATTCATAGAGCTTGAAGGAAAATGGTAGGTACATCATCTTCTGGTTGCTCTTTCTTGTCCTCCTTTATCTTGTCAATCACCCTAAGGGACAATTAATATTTTCTTGAGAGCTTGATTGGGCCCTCTCGAGAAGAATGAACCCCTCGATAATAGCTTGGTGTGATGTGGTTCCATGCAAATTCCGGTGTACTTTTCTTATATTATTTTGTTCTGTTTCAATTCGATTTCTTTTGTGTAAGATTTCTCTAATCGACATTCCTATTTTCTGTAGTACGGTTTTGATTGTGAACCAATGGAAGCCCATCAACTCTCTTTCTTATGAGTGTTATAAATCTAAAGAAGGAATTATTTTAAAAAGGGATTTTGATTATTATTGTTGGATCTCGAATTATTAGTAGTCTCTCACCATATGGGAAAATGCTTGTTAAAAGAGGAGAGCAGAAAGAACCGTAGAAAATTCTCTTAAGTATGAAGATGAAAATATGGAGACCCTTATTTTTCCTAAATGCTGAGAGAAAAAAGATCCACATCACGCTAGGAGAATAGAGAAAATATTACGTCTTGAGTCCGGACGTAGACCCAGTCATGGTTTGCAACATGATTGTATTGGAAGTTTTTCTTCAGTACAATCATGTCGTACTAAGTAAAAAAAAAAACACTCAAATAAATAATTCGATGTGAAATTTATAGAAGACAACATGATTCTATTGAAGAAAAACCTTTAGCATAATCGTGTTGTACTCAATGATCAGAGCGGACATCAGGGCTCTTCACTTTTTAGACAAAAAACACTGACCAAATTTTATTTATAAGCTTCAGTCGGCCCACTCAAGGGTGAATATATAAGTGGCTCTTTGTGTGTGCATTAATCCGTCCAATGATTTGATCGAATTTGACAGAACAAATTGGTTGACAAGTTAGTTAAACCAATATTCATTATATTGTATAACCAAATCAGCTGAATTTAGTTGAGTGCATTTGCTGAGCTTATTTACCGAGCTGGTCACAAAGCTTTTATGATCATGCAGTTTCAACTAAGCAGATTAAGCATTATATAAGAGGTTGTTCGAGTAGAAGGATTTGTGGTGTACTACAATTCATTTGCAGGGATTTGAGAAAATTATGTGTTTAGTATGAAGAAGCACATGTACTGTCAAAGGTTTCATTGAATTTAAAGTTCACTCAGTAGTTCATTTTGGTTGAATTTAGAATTCGGTCAATTTGATCGAATTTGAATTACACTGTAAAATACTATCGGCAAACGGGCACTGTTCGTTGTTGCCTGCCGCTTGCCACTTGCCTCCCATCGCCTGTCGATCACCACAAGCGCTTGCCACTTGCCTCCCGTTGTCGTTTGCCGCTTTCCACTTGACACTTACCAAAATGCTGAGATAGCTGATAACAAAAACGTAACTCTTGAAAAAAAAAATACAAAACTAACGATTAATAACAATCAACGATCACCATCAGCAACTTTTGTAACCAATTATTGTTATCATACCTACCAACTAGACTTATGAAGGCATCAACCATAATTATTGTAGTTCAATTATGATTGTTATAGCTACACTACTATTATATAGCCATGATCATCTAAATTAAATTAGAGAGTACTAAGTATACATATCGAATGCGGATTTATTTTGTTTGAATACAAAGTTAAAGTTCTTGTTGGTTGAATCAAATTTTGATCAAGTTGTTCATGATATATAACCTAACATAGTTTTTATTTATCAAATATCATTCTTATGTAATCATCTTATTCTCATTAGCATAGCAAAAAATTAGTTGTCTCAATGAAGCTTAATTAGCACATGATAACATGTTAATGATTCAATTGTCATTATTTATTTAGGCAGTTAAGATATATAAAATAATTAGTTTATAGCTAATCAGGCCGCTTAAATATTTCTAAACCAGATTTAATTTTGTTAAACTTCAATTAATCATCAGTTAATCTATATATAGTTAATCTTAATAATTCAATCAATGGAAGAATTAAAGATAAGTCAATCTTTAAATTACATTTTTCATTTGTTATTAGTTTAGCTTGGGAAAAATAAATTAGTTATTAAATTAAATAAAAAAAACTTCATAATTATAAATAAAAGGAAATTTTCTGATTTATAGTAGGCTGGAAATGATGTAAATGCATGAGCACAAGCAAGTGAAGTACACACTCAACTATTCTCTACCAGTTTTTGAAACATAACTCATGTTATTGTTCATGAGTTCCAGAAATGATAAAATATTATAAAATTACATCCTGTAGGATACTACACGTCTATGGTGTCTTGATGAAAGATTGTGAAGCGGGTGTCATATTGCACTATAGATATGGATGAATGTATGGTGTAATGACTATCTTCTTCAGCAACTGGTTTGCGCCTAGCTAGTTCAGCCACTTTGGCATATAAGCTCAACTCGACCACTGCGGCATGGGGGTTCTGTTTGATGGCTTTGTTAGGTGAGCTTGGCTCGAGCACTTTAACATGTATGCTCAATTCAAGAATATTAAAAAACCTATGTTATAAAATATATCAGTTTTATTTAGGCGTTATTAATTGTACTTAGCTATAATTATCTTTCCATTTGCTGAAATAGCTTGCTATTTAATAAAATTACTTTCCTTTTATCCTGGCACTCTTTTTTCTATAGTCTCTTTTCCTTCAGAGAATGCCCATAAGTTTAAGAGCATATTTGAGTATACATATGTACTTTTCACAGATTTAGGGTCTGTTTGGAGCAGCTGTTAATTATTTATAATCTGCTGATAAGCAGATTATTCTGATAATCTGATAATCTTTCAGAATAATCTGGCTTGTTGTTTGGGGCAGCTTATTGGTGGTTATGGTTGTATAAACGACATTCCTGCCCCTGTCTAGTAAAACTGTTTGGGGCTGCTTATTCATAATCGTAATCGCTTATTGGTAGTATAGAAGCATATAATGCAAAAGCATACAATCATCACAGATCAATTCCAAAAGATGACATACAGCTCTCACACTATCGTGAGTACCAGAATAAATAAAAAAGGATAAAGACAAGTACAACCTTCACTTGTTGAAATAGGTGGTTGGCCTATTCCCGATCTCAATCTCGATGATGCAGATGTTGCAGAAAATAATTGTAACTTCTTTATCCCACATCGCTGAGGGACCACTTTCACTTGTCTTACACATTATGGTAATATATGAAGAATTACATACTGTGTTAAAAAATTCATTTTGTAACTACACATGCATAGGAAAATTATCCAAATGCACCATCAAGAGAAGAAACACAAATATCTTTTAAAAAGTAAATCTACATCCACAAAATGAGCATACATCCACAACAGATCCAACTAAAGTAATATGTAAATCTCACAGAAGAAAAATAAAAAATTTGCTCACAGAAGAAAATTAAAAAAAATAACATAAAGGAATTATGTGGTTCAATCAAAGATGTTTTATTATGAAAAATAATAAAAAAAAACTATGGCATCGAACATGTTTTATTATGAAATTATGTAAGGTTACATAGCTATGTTGTTCATATACATAGCAATGGTTCTCGATACACATCTTATATTTGATACAAATGGTGTGAAAATAAAGCAATGCACATCAAATTTGATATAAACCTTCTCATATGTGTCGTGGAACGCAATTCCATCAGAAGCAGCTTCCAAAGAAGCTCTAAAATATAAGCATTGTATCTCTTTATCTAAAATATTAGGAAATGCTGAAAAATTTCTAAAGACATAAACCTTCTCATATGAGCATTGTATCTCCGCTCATAGGAAATGCCAAAATATAATAACTGAATCTCTAAAGATCAATACAACATATAAGCATTGTATCTCCTCTCTAGCCTCAACATCAAAGGAAGCTCCTAAAACCCATCAATAATGATATATCATCTAACTAAAGAGTGGATCAGTATTTGCACATTCGCACATTCAAACAACAAATGCCCCTAAACCCCATAACTGAGCAACATTCAATATAAAAGGTGCACCTAAACCGCATAACTGAGCAACATTGCAATCAAGTACAATATAACAGGTGCAGCTAAACAATTCCAAAAGTTTGAGCTAGCTGAGTTCCCACATTTCTAACTGTATAACAGGGACGCATTGAAGCATATTCATTGAAGAACAATATAACATGGACGAATTGAAGCACATTCCAACAGTTAAACGATTCCAACAGTTCGAACAGTAAAGAACAATATAACAAGGAAGCATTCAAGTACATTCCAACAGTTTGAACTAGCTGAGTTCTCACATTTCAAACTAAAGTTTTCATACAGAAACAAGGACGGGAAGAACAATATAGCAAGTGCAGCTAAACACAGATCCAATGCATTCAATGGATTTGCTCATCTGCCATTCTTGCGATATTATACAAAAAAAAAACGCAGAAAATTCTCAAGAAAACCCTCAGATCCATTTCCATCAATTCATTCTCAAATAATCCAGCAAAGACATCCTCAAGAAAACCCTCAAGAAAACCGAATCTTGCAAAAAAAGTAAAGACAATCGAAGCGAGCCACCATAAAACCAACCAGAGAAGATTGAGCCATAAAACCAATCAGAAAGCATAGCGGCATATAGATCTCACCAGAAGAATCAATGTTTACGAAGGAGGAGATCGAGAGAGGAGATCGCAAGGGAGAGCGTGAGAGAGATCTTACAGGGGCACGGGAGGAATTAGAGCCCTAACAAACGCCGAACGCACAGAGAGCCCCGCGTGCGATCTGTAGAAGGAAATAAAATACACGATTTTCATCATTTTTAAAACGCATGATGGCCGAACGTCTTAACCAAACACCAAGGCAGCGTTTTCAAAATGCCGCCGCACCAAAATAAGCTGCCCCAAACGGATACTTAGATACATAACATAACACTCATTTCCCATGTATTTGCATATCTAATCTATAAACTTTATTATTTACATTTATATCACCTAAAATTTTAGAACTAAATGAATGTCATGTATTAAAAATTAAAATTTTACATTAAATATTAAAATACATAGAATTATTGAACGGTATATATGTAAATCTCATTAAAAACACTACTTCTGGTCTCACCCTGTCACCCACCCCGGCACACAACCACAGCCAGTCAGTCTCCTGATTTTTCCAGATCCTTCTCCATACACTCCACGAAACCATCTCTCCCGATCGTGTAGACTTCTCTGGAACTTTCCATAGCTGTTTATAACTCTCCCTCACGGCGCCAACAAAACCCTAGCTTCTCGAAACCCTAATTTCTACTCCAAAACAATGAGCTTTCTCTCAGATTCGCTTCTACTCGACTCGAGTCTCAGCCATTTGTTCCACATACCGGAAGCCCTAGAGAGGATAGCGTCCTTTCATCAAGTTCGCGGCGGCGGCCATGAAGACAACCAACATGTTTCCGCCGCCGGAAACCGCGCCGGGGAGGAGGGGGGGGGTGGCGGCGGGCCG